CCGTTTCAAAAGTACCGGTTTGGCACCGGTATCGGATAAAACCTAAACGATACCCATTCCTACTGGCAACCAAGGCTCACTGCAAGTGGGGAGTGAAGACTGGTCTGCGTGGTCCGACCCAACAGATGAGCTGCTGTAACTCAAACGCTACAAAAGGTTCAAGCTGGTTCAGATTGAAATACACAGTGTATCACAATTTGATGGGTATGGGACTGAATAACTGCAGACCAGTCAGGGTGCCCATGCTGATCCCTGTCAACACCAAAAAGCACCAACAGTGGGAATGTGAGCATCAGAAGTGGACCATGGACCGTGGATGCGCTGAGAAGAAGGCAAGTCCGAGTGGCAGTTTGATGCTTATGGGCACTATGGGAAACCTTGGGTTTTGCCATCCATGTGGATGCTACTTTGACATGTACCACCTACCTAAGCATTGGTAACGGTATTCCCTGATAGCTGTGGCCTTTTTCAGCAGGATAATGCGCTCTGCCACAAGGCAAAAAATAGTACAGGAATAGTTTGAGGAGCACAACATTTAGTTGGAGGTGTTGACTTTCCCAGATCTCAATCCAATCATGCACTTGTGGGATCTGCTGGACAAACAGATCTGATCCACCGAGACCCCACCTCACATCTTAGAGCAGCGGTCCCCAGCCCCCGGGCCATGGACCGGTACCGGTCCGTGAGTCGTTTGGTACAGGACCACGAGAGTTGAGGCTCGGGTGTGAAATTTATGGTTTTCAGGGTTTTTATCGTTAACTCTGTTTCCATGGGTCTTTTCCCGTGTCTTATGAATAAACCATCTTTTTTTTGGTACCGGTACTGGTTTTACTTTGTTGTATTTATCTGCGACACCTTAAAGGCCGGTCCGTGAAAATATTGTCGGACATAAACCGGTCCGTGGCGCAAAAAAGGTTGGGGACCGCTGATCTTAGAGGACTTAAAGGATCTATTTCTAGCATCTTGGTGTCAGATACCACAGGACACCTTCAGTGGTCTAGTGGAGCCCATGCCTAAACGGGTCAGGGCTGTTTTGGCAGCAAAAAGGGGACCAACACAATATAAAGCAGGTGGTCATAATGTTATGCCTGGCTGGTGTATCGTCTTTAATAATTGTGTCCTTTGAGCTTGTCAAATATTTGTTCTGTCTCTAAATCCATGGCTGTGATGAATATTTACATTAAAGTTTGTGTAGAAAATGAGATGTTACAGGCAAACACAAAACATCAATGCAACAAATGCAGGATTTTGCAGAAGCTTTCAGTCTACTGTTAAAGTTATTATCACCGAACATGAGAAAAAGTTCCAGTGTGCACAACGCATGCAGACATTTCTTCATTTTAGCCGCGTATTCTCTGTAAATGATCCTCTATTTTATTAGCACACGCCTACTTGTGGTTTAATGTAGCTGAGATATAAATGCCAGTCATCTTTATTAAATTCTGCATATAGCACTTCTGAGGGATAAACTGAACCTGGTATGTCTGAGATGTAAAAAGAAAAATAAACCAATATAAAACAGACCTTATTTTGTTATTATTAAATTTAAGAGACTTGCTTCACAAACATTGTGAAGTGTCTGTGGTGAACACTTGATTGGAAAAGTTAGTAAGTCTTTTTACTTAATTTCATGCAAAATATGTGTTTGTGAACATGCTTGCTGAGCATTACTGTGAGCATGTGAAGAAATCAGACATAATACTCCCTCCGTTCTGTGTGTACCTGACGTGCCGGATGTGGGAGAGCAGCATGGTGAGATGGCTAAGGCGCAGAGTCTGCTGCTGGGTGGACAGGCCCAGTTTGGAGATGGCCCAGACCAGCGCATCGATCACAGAATCCAGGAGACGCAGCAGTTTGTTTCTGCTTTCCAGCTCTTCTGGAGTCTGCGGGGAGCTCGTGCACAGACCTGTGAAAAACAGCACAGCTACGTGTCATTACTGAGACCAATGATCCTTTTTTAAACACGTGCCCATTAGTTACACACGATCATAAAAGTTTAGATGCTGTTTGAGACGTAAATAGAAGCAGAATTCAATAACACACACATCATTTATACTCTATATACTTATAGAGAAAACATATGAATAGGTTCAAACTGAGAAATCAGATGTGGCAAGTTTGAATTTGACAAGAGCAATATATTTAAAATTGCTGGGACAGCAACATATTTCTGTCATTGCATTACAACAACACTGCAAAAGTGTGCAACTCATCATATTTCCCATTTCATAATGCAAAAAAAATGTTTTAACTGGGTCACTGGTCTGGATTGCAAGCTGTCCAGTACTGAATATCTTAGCTTTCTTGAGTGAGTACATGCACTGTCACAATTATACCAAGGATAACGTTCATTCAGCACTAACCCGTTTGTAAAAACTGATCTGTACCGTCTGAATCCTATTGATACTATATATATTATCCTCACCTCTTTGCATATAATCATTATTACTGAACTCTGGCTCTCATCCATAGTGTGTCTTTGCACTGTTTCCCTGCTTCACGCCCAATTTGTGGCGGCAGATGGCCACCCCAAGCCTGAGCCCCCTGAGCCTGGTTCTGCTGGAAGTTTCTTCCTGCTAAAAGAGAGTTTTTCCTTCCCGCTGTCACCAAGTGCTCGCCCGTAGGGGGCCATGTGATTGTTGGGGGTTTCTCTGCAGTAAAGTAGGATCTTTACCTTACAATATAAAGAACCTTGAGGTGACTGTTGATGTTGTGATTTGGAACTATATGAATAAAACTGAACTGAATATAGTAATTCTTTGATCTTGTTAGTTATTTATCTACACTGTCTTTCACATACTGGTGAACCCTTAACTCATCTTTACTCCAGGACTAGTACTCAGCCTGTGACATCATTTCTTTGCAATCAGCCATTTAACGTGTTCTTTTTAAGCATGCCTTCTGTTGCCTTGCCCATCATTATGTGTACCAGAATTAATGCACTTAAAAAACATCACATCTTACTTAATAATCTATACATATCATTTCCCTGATTATATTCAAGCATATATGCACACACACACCTGAACCATGGAATCTGTGAGTGTTTAAACTTCTTGACTTGCAGGGAAATAATAATAAAGCTTAAATTAGATCCAGCCATCGCAACTGAAAACATGGTTTATATGGTGATAGACTGACACTGACAAAACATTCCAAGATTAATAATAGCCTGGTAATAATCCACTCATTATCTCATCTTTGAATAAAACATGTAACCTGGTGTTCTTTGGTATAAATTGTTGCATGACATTCTACATCCTTATTCAGGACTCTGTAACCAATTTAACCTAAGCTGTGACATTTATGAGTTCGTACAGTTTCTTCAGTCAGGCCATCTGGCTCATCAAAGAGCCCGAATGACATCATGATGGACGCTCCTGATGAAAAACAAGAGGATGGAAGAGAGAAGGAGCTGTAGATCAACTAGTGTCCGCCCACCACCAGGACAGAGGATGGATGGAGCAGCTCAGTTACAACTTTCCATCTGTCAAGATTCATTAATCTTCTCGACTCCTTGTTTTCCTTGACTTTTCAGACTTGCTTTCGCTTCTTGCACAATTTGTCCTTTTTTTTTTACTCCAGCTGCAGTGGAGCAGAGTTAAAAGAGAGAACATAGTCTGGCAGAGGATCTTATGTGTGCGTGAGGGAGGAAACTTTGTTAAACATGTGGAGAGGTCAGTCACCTCGATGGAACCTGCCTGCAGCGTCTGTTGAGGTGGTTTGTAGAGTACTGAGAGGACACTGTGACCACTGGAAAAACAATAAAGGTGAAAAAAACGAAAGCCGCCCTGCAATAAGGTCCAAATTCACAGGTCACTTCATCTCAAACCTTCTTCAAATAACACTGGCCGATGCAACTTCTGTGGCACGGTCACCGTCATGTTGATTTTAAAAGCCACATCAAGGACTGGTGTAGTGTAACTCTGCTCTACAACGCTTTAAGGGGGTTATTTATTGTAAGAGACGTTGGGAAATTTCTATAAACCTTAAACAAATGAAATGCTAGGAAACTTCAAAGTGAGTGTACTCTTCTCCCGTGACCAAAATAAATAAATAAACAAACTAATAAATTATTTCGTAAACTAGAAATCTGGACACTGAACTGTACGTGTTGTTCCTGGCTTGGGAATGCCTCGGGATTGCCCTGGATAAGCTGGAGGAGGGGGCTAGGGAGAGGGAAGTCTGGGCCTTTCTGCTCAGGCTCCTGCTCCTACAACCCAGCCACAGATAATCAGAAGAAGAAGGACGGATGAATGGAAAATTAGAAGCACAAGACTGCATCATCAAGACTGCAAATCAGTCATTTCAAGGAGTAGTGCAGAAACGAAAATCATAGCAGCAAAATAACTATGATTTATGTTTCTTTAATAATAACTGTGCCTGATGGGTACTAGAGAGTATTGCTTTGACAGTCAAATGTTTGGGTGTAAGTTAAGAAGCACACTTTAAACAGATACTGACATGTGTAGTCTTTAGTTTGGTACTTTTATATACTGACTAAAAAACCTTTACTTAAAGTATGAGTACCCCAAAAGTGTGTGTGTGCACATGTGTGAGGGATTGTGTCAGAACTAAAAAGAACAAAAAACCAAAAACACCACAAATGGCGCACTGATTGGATGAGGTGCAACAGCATATTTGCTTATTGAAACCTCATTGCAAAATTCTTCCCCATCCTGTGGTTTTATCTGCATCAGTAACACTCACTGGAGTTGAGGAGGATCATGGCCTTCAGGCAGACGTACTCCTCTCTCTGCAGCTTCAGCTCGCGGAACCGAGAGGTGGCTGCCAGCAGCATGTCGAAAATCTCCATGATGCCCTCCACACACTGTCCCTCCTCCCTAAACAGACAGAAAGAGAAGAAGTGAAGAAAAACAAGATGGAGTGAACAAAAAGATAAGAAAGGGGAAAGAGGCAGCAACGAGAACCAAGATAAACTGAACATGCTGAAAGAAATTTCTATTACTTTGTGCGTCCCATTTATATCAACTCTTGTAGGCTAAAAAAGTTTATTATGGTGCCTGAAAATCATAATAATATGATGGAAAATTTAAAAAAAAAATCAATTTCAGCTGCAATTTTGATGAACCAGAGGATTGCAGTGTCAGCACACAAGTGCTAGTGGTACATTTTAAGACATTTTAGCCTGCTGGCAGTTGTGCCCTGCAACCTGCTTTGCAACCCACTTCTTCCATTCCCTGCTATATATGACTTACTCAGTGTCTTAAATCAGAAAGGGCTTAGAGGTTCCAGAACAGAGCTTTACCTTTTGACATAACAAAACAAACTATAGTCATGAATGGCAAAATCGGGTATTAAAACCTCATCAGCTAACAACTTCCTATTGGTAATCCACATATTAGCAACCATCCATGAAGAAATTCAAGCCAAATACTGACGAATGTGTAAGAGAGAGCAGAAAGAGGTCAGAAAAGCAGAAAGAAAGACTTGATAAGACAAAATAAATTAGAAAATGACTCAATGGGCCGGTGGATGGATTTGCATCCAGGATGTTATCCTCATCTTTCCAAGGAGAAAGGCTGACAGGAACCTTACAGAGAAAAATAAGGCCGTGTTATGAAAACACATCAAGGCTAGCCTAAGCCTATAGTGATAGTTTCCGTGGCAGTGAAGAAAGAAAGGTCAAACACTGAACTCAACCCACCACTTCCCTCATATAAATTTGCTCCTACCCTCAGCTCCTTCTGCATTTGCCTTTTTCACAAAAAATGTAGCATTTAGCTGTCTGACTACAGACTGCTTCAAAGTCCTTAACAAAAATAAGGGAATTACATACACAAGAAAGTGGGACAAAGGGGAAAACTCAGGGTAAACAGCATGCAGTCTGAAATATGATGGCCTCCATATGATGGAGTCAAAAATGTACAAGTTATCAGAACTTAGTGGCTCGGCTGCATTATCAACTTTAAAAAACTAAAGTCTGAAGTCTATTTTTGTCTTTTGAGAATGTTTGCCCTTTAGCAAAAAATGTGTTGAACCTTCCCTAACCCCCTAACCCATCCCAGTTTATACTAACAAGTTCTGAATGTTGTACACGGTCAGTGTCCACAGCAGAAATGTATGTGCCAGTTTGTTTGACATCTGCATCAAGGAGAAATTCTTCAGAAATGCAATTATTTGTATCCTGTA